TGGGCGGTAATTCTCACAGCGATTGTAGGGGGCTTTTTGGGAACCGGCGTTACTAAAGAGTGCTTCCAACGTTCTGGTACCTCTGCCCTCAAATAAGACAAATTGAAGAGATGCTCAAGGGGATAGAGTAGATGGTTCAGTACCATTTTGATGAACTTAAAAGGGATGAAGTCAGGGGTAATAGAAGGAGAGGTGGGCCAAGCAGAAAGAACTTCATATATCTCCTCCCGATGAAACCAAACTGTTTGTTCCATGGCAGGACAAAGTGGCGTGAGGTCTCCCATGGATTGTTCGCAATGGTTTGAAAAATGCTAGTTGAAACTTCTCGGCCAATAGCTCAGCTTTATCTTTATCACTGATCGCGAGGTGGGACTCATCAACTACCAGCGCAGGTAACTTGTTCCTAGCTTTTAATCGTGAATTTATATAATTATAGAGTTTGGAGGGAACCTTTGAAGCGATTATTTTATTCTCAACGCTTGCATAGTATTTCGCAAGGGCCTTATCCAGCTTTCGAGTAAACTGTTTGTAAGAAGTCCAGCAGGTTTCTGTGTTTTCTTTGACCGCTAAATCCCAGAGATCTGCGCAACGAGTAATCATTCGATCTAAATATCCGGGAAGGGATCTGTACCCCCGCTTGACATTACAAAGTGGGACAAAAGTGTTGATGACATCATTCAAAATAGACAGGAATAACTCGTACTTATCATTAACTGAGCAAACGCTACCAAAGGAACCAATCCAGTCGACGCCTCCGAGGTAATCTCCGACAGCCCGCCAATCCACTCGAGAGAAGTCCCTAACCAGTGCGACTTGTGGGTCAGGTTTATAAATGTTAAGTAGAAACTGAACAGTGGCATGGTCGTCACTCTGGTACCAATGGGTGGTAGAACATTGACTCCTGAGACTAGGAAACGGCGATTGCAGAAGACCAAGTCAAGGATGGAGCTGCCTCGGGTAGGGGTATGTACTAGTTGGACAAACTCATGAGAGTACAGCGTCTGGACAAACTCCTTAGAAACAGAGTTACCTGCATCACTTTGATACACGCTAGCATCAGCCATGTTAAAGTCACCTAGTACGAGAGTTGCTCCATCATGAGAACTGAAGTCACTTATAGCTTTAAGAAGTAAATTGGTCTTGAGGGCATTACAAGATGGAGTCCTGTAGATTAACACGAATCTGACAGTGGTAAGGTTAAGGTATGCATCAATAACAATAATCTCATAAGCTTCGGGTACTGATTCACTAAACACAATATTGTGAGGTATAGCGTTTCTAATGAGAATCAGGACACCCCCTCCTTTTCTTCTGGCACGATCACATCTGAGATGAGTGTACTGAGAGTTAGCAACACCTAGCAAACTAGATACTTCAATATTAGGAGTTAACCAAGATTCCGAGAGAAAAACCAAATCATAGCTCTCACGTATTAACAGTGAAATGACAGCGTCACTATTTTTAACAAAGGACCTAACATTTGACAACATACACTTGATCCTGAATTTCCCTCGAGGACAGTTACCAGAAAAATTCGTGCGTTGGCGAGGCGTCAAAGTGCCCTGGGAGAACCTAGGACAACTCAGAGGTTTACCGCCTGGTTGGGGAGGATTAGTGGGCTACCTGCGTCATCAACATTATGCACAGTAGAACCTTCATCCTGAGAGTGATTTCGACGAGCAAGCCACTCTTCTCGCCTGCGTCTTCTCTCATCCAGTGTGAGAGAAGGGCGTATAAAAACGCCTTGATGGGAGAAGAAACGTAAGCGAGGAGCGCGCCTTATTACTTCTTTTTGAAATCCACTACTGGGTAGAACTACCTTCAAGAGTCTTGGTCTACGAGGGTCTTTTCTACCCATACGGTACACGGACACGGGAAGACAAGCAACATCGAGAAAGTCAAGCAAAGTGTGCGTGCAATATAAATCATGGTTAACAGCTTCCATTGATCTAGAAGAGGTACTCTCAGGGACACCGGATATAACAATTGAACGCTTGAGATCAGGATCACTTACATTATCAGTAGCTGAACTGACAGAATGAACAACATCTTGACTATGAGAAACTTGAACACCAGTATGAGAATAAGCTGACTTAGCGGAAACTAATTCATCGATTTTAGACTTTAAAACCAAATTTTCCTCCCTCAATCTTCTATTCTCGTCCTCATATGAATCGCATTTCCGGCTGACATTTGCTAATTCACGGCGAGTATCGATCAAGAGGTCGATTATCAACTGCATGTAAGGCGGAATATCGCGACTTGATCGGATAACTTGTAGCTTGTCCAATACATTGGAGGTGGCTTGCGGTGAATCGCCAATGCGAGATCTCTTCACTGGAACAGAGGAGGAACGGGAGGGAGAAATCATACTGTCGATGCGGATGACAAAATAACAATCGATAGACCGGCGGTGATGATCTAGCAATAATCAACGGGGAAGGAAAGTAAAAATTACCCGATAAGGTGGCGAAATTCAAAACGTATCGAACGATGGCCGGCACTCTCGCCACAGAAGTGGTACGCCTAGACGAATAGTAGTTATAATGGAAACACAGACGTGTTGAAATATGTGCATAATATGTGAATAATATAGCCGAATATCGACGAGGAGCGAATAGATAGGCGCGCCGACGGTCAGGAGGGGGGGTCGCATTGGGAAGGGGGATACATTGCAAATGGGAAACGGAAAAAAGCGGAAAGTCAACATCAGAAAAAAAATTTCCCCAACGCTGCAAATTTCTCTCAAAGGCACATACGACCCTCCCCCTCCTCCCAAGACTCCAGCAGTCAAGTGCGACCCCACTCCCAGCTACCAAGTACGCTCCCATGTATTTCGCACAACGATGCTGTACCCTGCTCCCATGAACTGTGGTCCCATCTCACCCAGGTGGCAGAAGTGAAACGTTTAGTTTGTCTAGCTGAGATTCAACAATATGATCCGTCCGTCCGGACTACATAGGCGCTTAGTGGGAGACCAACTCGTTTGGCGTGCATCTCCTTGAGCTAACCCGCCTTTTGCGCCCATTTTACCCACTTTTTCATACCCGGGTTTGTAACCGGTGCAACTAAATGTTGACGAATTCATTTTTTAGTTGTTTTTTCCTTTCAACTAGCTAAAGCAACACAGTTCACGTTTAAGAAGGGACCTTAGTACTTGAACAAGGATTTACTTCAACACTGAAACGTTATTTCTACAAAACCTTATTCTGGTGCCTTGATGATTCTACCACCGTGCGCTATAGGGAGCAATCCGGAGTTTTCCAGCAATTAAAGACAAACTGTACACACAGCAGTGACACGTGGGTGTCCACATTCTGCCTTAGGGTCAGCCACACGCTTCCCATAGTTGTAGTTTCACTTAGTTCGAACCTTGGACATTCTGATAATTGAACAATATATTTGTCATTCTCACTTCTGGCATGGGTTACTGGCTCTCAGGGCACGCCATTGCGTTGTGATCATTTCCTGAAA